ATGAGGCTGCCGGTGGCGAACTCTTTCCTATATGGAAAGAGCCACTTGTCTTCGCAGCCTGGCTGGACTGGCCTGGGCCCAGAAGCTTCCGGTAGGCCCCAGGATGCTGCGCTTGTGTTGCAGCTACTGGGCCTCTTTCGGTTGGGCCTCACAACTGTGAGTGTATGAGGCTGCGATTCTTGCCCAGGGCCTGCATTCTTGGAAAGGCCCAGAAGGCCGTGGATTGTGCTGCTGTTCGGCCTGCGTTTCCCCTCAACCAACTGGCGCGTTGAAACTGCCTGGATCCCCCGAGTACAAAATTGACAGCTGAGGGCCTCTGGTGATTTGTTAGGCCCGCCTTCACTTAGGGCGGGCACATCTGCAGTAGGGGCCCTCTTAGGCCTGCCGAGGACCGAGATCCTCAGCATTTATTATTTTTGCTGGGTTTTGTCTGGACTTTTTTTGTCGGTTTCGGATGTGCCGGGTCGGACTTTTCCTTTTGTCCGAACAGGCAGATGCATGTTCGGACCAGGGTATTTCAGTTTCGGCCATTGTAAGCCAGGTTCAGATTTGTCCGTATGTGGGGCTGGACCAGGCATTCGTCTGTTTGTGCCTGGCCCAGTACTCAGGACCCTGCTGCAACAGCAGGATTGCCTGGACGTCTGGTAGGGACCCAGGCAGGCCGTTTTTGGCCAGGATCGTAGGACCAGGACTTGGGCCTGCAATCAGGACCATCAATCGGACATCATATCCGACAGTTCTGATCACAGACCGAGGACTGCTCCGCCAGGCCCAGCGGTATATAGCTGGGCCAGTCGTCCACTTTGAGGACACATTCTGGCTGGAGCCTCAGTAGGGTGTCACGCTGCTTGAGCAGCGCCAGTTTGGGGAGAGCTGTGATAGAGCAGCGTTAGAGGAGTAGAGGAGTAGGCTGGAGTGGAGAGATTGGCGGAGGCCATGTCCACGAGGGAAGAGAGAGACCTACCTGGGCACCATATCTGGGACTTCATACTGGTCATGGACCGGCCTTTAGCAGTGACCTGCATCGGGAGTCATCACCTTCGCTGGTCAGTATTTGTGGCATCATCATCGGGAGCATGTGAGAGAGGAGAGATCTTCATCTTCTTCTCCTTCTTCTCCTGATTCTTCTCCGCCCCTCCATACCCACTATTCTTCGTCTTCTTCTCCTCCCTCTTTTCCTCTTCTCCAGAGAGAGAGAGAGAGTGTTACAATCCTGGTCATTCCCAAAGTGCAAATTCACAATGAAATAGAATGCCACCCAATTGTGAAGGAAATGAAAGCACTTGCAAAGAGATAAAGACCAAAGAAGAGAGAAAGAAGAAGAAGAAGAAGAAGAAGAAGAAGAAGAAGAAGAAGAAGATGTACACCAGCAAGACCAATGGCAAATCCCCCTTCTCTGTCCACCTTCCTCCTCCTCCTTCACTTCGCCAATCTTATTCTTCTTCCAAACCAGAATCAATATCCGAAGTTCCTTCTTACTGCTCCCTCCTGTGCAAAGGACAACGCAGAGCAGCTATGTCGCTGCACTCCTGTCCAAAGGACAACCCAAAGCAGCTATGGCGCTGCTCGCTAAGCCGCCATGCTTGACTTTGCCTCGAGCTTCCTTGGGGTGGCACTACCCCAACAGGGCCCTTCCAGATGCAGCGCCCAACAAGGTGATGAAGATGGTGTCCACCATAGCCAGGTAGGTACCTCGCCACTCTCCTCCTTCGCCCCCTTCTTCCTCCTCCTCAGGCTGGGCTGCTCGCCATAGCGAGTCTGAGCGCCCAGCTGCTCTTCTCCTCCAGGAAGCGCTTCCCAAGTCCAGCGCTTGGCTCCAGCAGCATGTCGCCAATCCTTGCATACCGCAAATGAGGAGCTGCTTGCTCCTCCTGAAGATATAGTGGCCTACTGGCCTCTTGGGCGGTGACTTCCTAGGCTGAGCGGCCTCCCACCAACCGGTACCTCCTCCCTTTCGGAGGGAAACATCATTGCAGGCTCTGCTATCGTCTGGACAGGCCCTAGACTCAGGCGACTTGGACTGGTACCGGCCTACCTCTAACCTACCGATACTGGGCCTCTAAAAATGCCAAGTTTTGTCTTCTTCTGCTTGGCCTCCAGTACCCGCCATTTCTACCACTACTTGAGTGGTACCGGCCTACCTGCTATTTGAGCGTTTTTCCCGCTGCTCTAAGTGTCGCGGGCCTACCCCCGCTACTTGAGTGTTTTCCCCGCTGCAACCCTCAAAGGCACGGCCACATGTAAGTACCGGCCCTGCGGGGCCTTCCAACCAACAAGTACACTTGCAGGTCACACACACTCAGCCGACAAGCACTCAGACAGGCACGCAAACCACCAGCAGGCATGCACACACACACAGATTTAGAAATCACAGCAGAATGCGGGAATCTCAGCAAGGCATTCATTCCAGCGACAAATCCCAGAAATCAGCAGTGTTCTCACAACTTCTCAGTCTGTGTTTTGGAGGGTCATTACAGAGAGAGATTTCAGGCAGTGACTATTTCGGGCCGTGGAGCCCAGGATCTGATTCGACATCTGAGGACAGACATTGGTTGGACATTTGACGGGGAGTTATTTGTTGGACTACTACGAGTTCTAATGTTGTCCTATCTCCCGTCTCCATCTTCGTCTCTCCTCCCCCTTCGTTATCCGCGGTTTCTCCCCATGTGTGTGCGCAAGGAGGGATCTTCCTTCTGTGTATGATTTCCCTCCGCGCTGTGACATGTGTGATGATGATTGTCTGAGTTGAGTCTGGATCTGATCTGTCAGGTCATATCTTTGAGTCTTCCGCTGTCCTACATCGCTTTATCTCGTTTTGTTTCGAGTCCTGTTCATCACACTGGTGCTCCTTGGACATCTGCACCGCTCATCTTCAGATGAGCATGCATCACTAACTGAGTGTCGTCCTCCTCGATTGTCGAAACGTAATTGTTTTTTCTTAAATCTGGACAACAGAGGTTTAGTTTTGCTAGCGACCGTGCTCGCCTTTATCCATGGTCATGAGGGCTTGGAGGTGTCGATTGATGAATGCCGTTGGGTCTCCTTGTGTGGCTGCGGAATCGAGACTAAAAGCGGTGTCAGCTGCACCAAAATATGTCAGTCGTGTCAGTTTTTGGCTGGGTTCAGCGGCAGCCCTTCGTTGGGTCGCATTCATTCTTTCTTTCCCCCCGTAGCACGGCCCTGTCGGGTTGGAAAGGGCGGTTGGCCAGCCACGCGCTCTCTTCTTTTTTTTCTGCATTGCACAGCGGAGTCAAATTTGGTTGGGTAACTTGGGTGGGGTTTTCTTTTTTTGGGGGGGGTGTGGCGGCGGCAAAAAGCGGCCACAGATTCAGTCGCTTGGGGTGGGTATTACTTTCATCATTCTTGGAGTGGCAAATTCTGATGAAAACATAATTTTGTTTTAAAGAACTCAAAAATTTTGTTTGAATTATCTTGCCATATATTCCTGTTCAAAGTGCAAGGAACATGAGTATGGACGAAGCACAGAAATCCAAATTGCAAAATCACACCGAAGTCCAAGTAGTCAAAGCAAGAGCAGATACCACAATGGAACAGAGTAACCATCCATTTGAGAACGATACAAAAGAATCGTGAGTCAATGTCCAAGCCCAATCGGGCAACACCAACAGCATAACCCAATGTAGCTCTCTCTCTTGAATGGCGCCAGGCGCCCTACCTACTCTACAGCCTATCACTACAACTACAGGATGGAAGCAACCAGACAACTTGACGACCAGCGAGTGATGATGTCAACACCAATGCCGACCTCCTCTCCACCAGGTACGTCTCTCTCTTCACCCTCACTCTCCCTTGTTATCCCACACAGCGCCCTTCACCTCC